CAAAAATTCTCTGTTTCTCTCCTTCCAAATGATCCACCATATACAAGCAGGTACTGTTCTCCACCACCTCCTCTGGCTCTTACTACCTCCCCTTCTGACCCAACAACTTAGTAGGTCTGATGTATGTTCTGGCATAATTCAATTTAGGCTAGCTAAATTGGTGAATAGAGCTCATACTTGTGTTGTTACTTTGCAGTGGAGGAACATATGATTGTTGGTTTCTAGAGCCTCTTTACAAAGATAAAACTTGAAGCAATAATTCTTCCCCTCTTTTGAAGTTTATCTTGTGTCAGTCAAGCTCTCCCAGTTATCAACCAGGTGAAACACTTAACCTTAGTAGGGGCAACACTCTTCCATATAGCATTCCATGGCCCTGATTTCTTCCCTGTAGTTGTGGCTAGATCCCTTTTATACATTCTGTTCACAGAGAATTGACCATTAGTATGATGCCTCCATAGCAATTTATCTATTTTCAGATTTGTGCAGAAAAATCTCCTATCAAAGCTAGCATATCGGATACCCACTATGTTTCCCAATCATTAAAAAATCTCCTAAAGAGCAAATTCCATCCTTGTGGAGACCAAACTTCTTGTAGTTTGCTATAAGAATTCAAGCAAATGGAAATCAGCCCAGGGAATAAATTTTCCAAGGACCCTTGACCAGTCCAATCTTCCTTCCAAAACAAAGCCTTAGTTCCTCGGCCAACCTTTATCCTTACATTGTCTCTGAAAGTCAGTCATGTGTTCCTTATATCCTCCATACTCACACAGCATATGTTTCTGTCGCTTCCTCGGAGCACCATTGACCTTCCTAATCGTACTTGTGTTAAATGAGTTCCTTCCATAGAGCTTGATCTTCCAAATTTTATCTCCACATCCATTTGGTAAGTAAGTTGTTGTTGTGTATCTTTAGGTTTCTTACTCCCAAAAGACAAGGTATCTTAGTCTAGCTGGAAAAGGCCTTTTTCCCTCAAACCATGAGCCATGAGGTTAGTGGTACGAGTCACCAAAGAGAGTTACGTGGGAAGAGGTGTAGTGTTTTGTTCTAGGTAGAGGGGTTGGGGTGTGGGGTTTGGCATATAAAAAGATCCAAGTTTTCTAATATGGTGGGTGATGAACAATGTTGTGTTGTTCTGAGAGCCATCATTCTTGTCATATCTGGAGATTCAGCCTGGATTGTCTTGCATTGCATAGCCATGCAAGTAGTCAAGTTTATTTTTTAATTTTTTTAATAATAACGTAGAAATACATAGGAGGGGGACATTGACCTTACCTCCTACCATATATTATTTAAAGTGAGAAGCTCCAAAGTGTAAAGTGGAATTATCATTTTGCCCTACACTAAATTAAAATGTAATAAAATAATTAATCTAAACAAAAATTAAATATCTAATATAGTAGTATTATTTGAATTACTTAATAAAGGATTAAAATGAGAAGTTCCGAAGTCCTACTCTATTATTATGTGTTGAAACAGCTGAATATTATATTCTTTTTTAAAGATTAATTCTCCTTAAATATGTGTTTTCTTTCTTTTGATGGTAATGGGTGAACACTAAAGTTTTCAATTAATATAGAAGTTGCCACGTATTTTTGCTAATTATGAGAAGTTGAAAGGAATCAAATTAAGTAATTGAGGAATATGAAAAAGTTTTTATCATCAAATCTTCAAGACTACACTATAAAAACATACCTAATGTTAGTCATTCAATATATGCTTCCGTTCTTCAGTGGGTAGAAAAGTGTCTTCTAATTTTCAGGTCCATTCTTATTAAGTCTAGATTTTTCCGTTTGATTTGCTAACTTCATTTGAATGATAATCTTCTAATTTTTTTAATAGGTGAAAGAAATAGTTTGAACGGTATAATCACACGTAAAGAAATAAGTATTATACATATGTGATTTGATGCCTAATCATGATCAACTCTCTTTGAACCTAAGCATTGCAGCTGAAACTATTTTTATAATCATATATTAGAAGTGTTCCATAAAACTAAACATGATAGTTAATTGTTATGATAATTTCTATAGAAAAGAAACTATGCTTTATAAATTTTATACTTTTAATATATTGAAATTGCAGTTGTTTGCTAGCAAATATATTACATTATCTTTTTGTTCAATTTTTCTTGATAGATATAGGTACTTACTTTTTATCAAAGGAATATATAGGTAGTTGCTGTAGTAAAATGTAAACAAATGTAGCAGCTCCAAGTCTTCTCTAGCAGTGATAGTAGTTGTAGGCCTATAAATGTAAGTGTATGTGTATATCTGAAAGTATATAATGCAGTAGTTGTATTTGTAACGGAACACACATTGAGAATACAAGAAGCTCAAAAAGACTTTAAGTAACGTCACATATGTGATATGCCCTTTTTAATTCTTCAACTTGCGGTGCTTTTCCTGGAATATTTTACAAATCTTGATATCTAATAATTTTATGTATTTTTTAGTTGTTGATGACGGTAAGTACACTTAATTGCTTATAGACGGCTAAGCTTAATTTGACCATGCCTATTTTGAGGCTTATCTACTGGACAATAGATTGAACATATGAGAAACACTTGTAACAAACATGCATGTCCTCCCAATAGTTTATTATATGTTTTGATTTTCATATGGGATACACGTGCAACACGCGTGCCTAGATACTAGTAGCAAAATACAGTGGATCACCATAAGCTAGCAAGGTGAGATCTAAGTTAGAGACCTAACATTTATCATAGAGGATGATTCACACGAAAAGAGAGACTCAGAACATTTTTAATATTTCATATTAGAAAATGAACTCATATCTTTTAGCTTCTGTGCTTTGGTGGTGCTAGACTTGAGTGGTCTCTTAATTTTGCAGATGTGTGAGAAATGGAAACTATGATGAAGCTCTTGATTTAGAAGCATTTGTTTCCAAGCTTTCAGCAATGCACCCCAAGTGAGTCTTGGATCGTTTCTTTGTTTTTCTGTAGGAACTGATATAATTGAATTTGATGAAATCTTACTAAGGTACTTTTGTTTCTTTTTCGTCTCCCCCTGAAGGTTACCAGTCATTCAAGCCATTGCTGCAGAAGTTCGGCAGGCCACTCAATCTCTTATTTCTCAGCTTCTCCAAAGACTTAGGTCAAACATTGAGGTGATTTCTGGCATAGATTATTTGATTTTGTAACAGTTTTGATGTTGGAGCATACTGGAATGGAAGTTCTCCATAAATTATGAAGCTTAAGACCTAACTGTTTACAATTTATTGCTGCAGTTGCCAGAATACCTGCGTATCATTGGATACTTGCATCGTATAGGGGTGTTCAATTAAGTATGAGATGCGGTTACATGTGAGATTGATATATTTTAACAACAGCTGGTTTTAGCCAACAGTTTGCTTTTTGGTCTTCATTTATTTCAGTTGTTTCTTATAATTTATTTCTTTAACCCATACTTGACCAATTTTTCCCCTTCAACACTTTCTAAGGTGCCGTCAGGAATGACTTTCTGGGATCCTTGATGACTTGGACTAGAGAAATGCTTATGAATACCTCAAAAGATGCATCTCTTTGATGTTGTTAACTAGTACCGTGCGATATTTGTTGATGATACTTCCAGGAGGGAAGAAAACTATGATGGTAGGCTTCTCTTCAGTTGGGCCATCCACCAAATTTCTTCCCACCTTAGAACTCTAAAAATGATGATACCGAAGATCACTCAAGGAGGCTCTTTATGAAACATTCTATCAATGCATGCTGAGCATATATATATATATATATTTGTGCTAGGCAGGTCATCAAAATTCATTTTGCTCAAGTAAAACTTATATTTGGCTGTGATCAACATTGATATCTTCTGCTTGCAATCACCATGAATACTAAACATGTGAAAGAAAATGTATTGCATTTTGAGTACAGAACAACGGAAGATGTAAATTCCCAGAAATGGCTGGAGAAACATAGTTTAAGTTTTGTTCGTATCATTCAAGTTATTTGTTGCACTTTAGCCATCCTGCTGGAAATGTTCCAAGATTTTGATATGATTTATGGAAGGGAAAAAAGCAGAAAATTGTTTCCCCTTCTCTCTATGGTGGGCAGGAAGGCGGGTAGTGGAGCATTAAAAGAAAGAAACATATTTACCCTTAGGTACACTTGTCTGTTGAGCTAATCGGAAGATCCATATAACTCAAAAGCTAGTCTTAAACCTATAAGTGTAGAGTCTAAATCCATCCCTTCGTTTCCTTTTAGTCACTTTGCTTTTCTCAGTCAACTTCAATTTCCAACATGTCTTCTTTCTCATTTCGTGGCCAATTTCAATTTCTACCTGCATGCATAAGCTAAGGTAGAAATTTATCAGACATGAATTTGACATGTCATCTATTTATGGGCGAGTAAATTACACACATGGTATGAGGGGTTTAAAAATCTTGTTTTGATTGAATTTAAAGATTGTTAAGTATAAGGGTCCATAATACAAACTCAACAAGTATAAAGGTCTATCAGACCATTTTGCCTAACATTTTCCTCAAAATAACACTTTGATATACATTAAGGACTATTTCAATCAAATAAAAGAAATTAAGGACCAAAATAAAATATTACAGATACATTAAGTACCATTTTGGTCACTTCTCATTGTATAAACAGGAAAACCCTATCTGCCGTTCTCCTCTCTCTCTGCATCTGCCCATAGACAGTTTTGGTTTTTGGATCCCCTTTTGTGCATCTAAATCGGAAGATTAGAATGGAAACATCAACAATGAATGAGATTGATAGGATAAGTTCATTGCCCGTTGATATACTTCACAACATCCTTTCAAATCTCTGTATTTTTGATGTGATTCATATGTCTGTATTGTCCAAAAGATGGAAATACATATGCACTATCATCCCCTACTTCCGCTTTCATAGTAGTTACTGTACTTCACTTCTTTACTCAAATGTAGAGAAATTCAAAGAATTTATGTATACCTTCTTAATTTCCCAAAACACGATTAACCTTGTCCGTTATACCCTCTCATGTAGCGATATGCTTGAAAGCACATATATGTTGCGGTTGATTCATGCAACAACAAGAAGAAATGTTCAACAACTTGTGTTGTTGTTTTGGCATCGTGAGCCATTTGTGTTACCGCATTGTCTTGTAACTTGTGAATCTTTGCAAGTTTTGAAACTAAACTTGTGTGGTGATGTACTTAAACTGCCTAATCATTTTGACGGATTTCGTCAGCTGAAATTTCTTCATCTTTGCAGTGTCAAGTTATCAGATGAACATTTGACAAATTGCTTGTTCTCAAAATGTCAACTCCTTGAAAATTTGGAATTAATTGATTGCAATTTAAAACGTATGAAGTTGCTGTATATTGATTCGGCATCTCTTTTATACATCACTTTTCTTCAGGGCGATTATTATGACAATTGTGAAATCAAAATTTCTTGTCCGGCTCTCAAATTCTTAAAATGTAAATGTGAGATTCCAAAGGATATAGTAATCAAGAATCTCTTTTCAATAGAATATGTTGACATCAATTTTCAGGATAATGATGTAAAATGTGATGATTTTGGTTTCTCATTTGAGAAAACTGGAATTCTTGTGCATAAGATGATCAAGGAAGTCCCTTCTATATCAGTTCTGAAACTATGCAAGGTTTCCCTTAAGGTAAAGTTTTCTTTGGAATAAGCATACAAGTGTAAAAACATTGTCTAATTTTTCTCAATTTTTGCTTCTTCTTATGTTGTTCTAGGGTCTGTACGAAGAGATTCGCCAAGTAAGACTCTCTCCCATATGCTTTAATAAACTGAAGTCCTTAAAACTGAAATTGGGAGTTGATGAAGATCATATGCAAGTTATGATACAATTGCTCAAGTATTCGCCTAATCTGGAGGTTCTAAAATTGTGGTGCGATGAGGTAAAGCTCTTCATCTTTTTTAAAGAATTTTGTGCACAAATTACATTTTGTTTTATATGGTAGTTGGTCGAAAGGCAACTTGTAACTTTTCAAAGTTGATTTACATGAAAAGATTCTTTCAAAATCAGAAGTTGGTGAAATTACGCTTGAAAACTGGGCTTACTTTAGTTGAGAATTTTTTTGTAATAATGCTAAACTATAAACCTATATCCAAGATTCAACTCTCCAAAATGTTGAAACATGTCACAATGAAAGTCAGAGAGGATCTGACTGTTCATCAGTTTTAACCTAATACAATTCACTTTGGAAGTTGGAAAGCATCACCTGCATACTCATGCCATTGAATTTAATCATGTTTGGTGTATGGAACTTAATGGTAGAAATAGAATTGAACTGTGAAGTGATGTGATGAAAGCCTGAGATGAATAACATGTTGATTGGATGGATGGCTTGGTTTGAATTGTACGTATCATACTCTGCATTCTGCAATACGAACAGATCACTGGGATTTTTGATGAATCAGTGACACTTGAAAGTGAATCATGTTTGGCATTTTCACTTGTAATGGATAAAATTGTTACTTATGTTGGATTGTTTGCTTATTCTGATTTATTGTTGTTTCATTATAAGTGTTTAGTGTACTCGAGAAATTGGTTTCTCTTCTGACTCTCAACTGTCTGCTAGGATGGAGAATGGAGAGAGAATTCTCTAATGTATTATGAATGGTGTGACTTTTGGCCGGCACGAGAAGATCAAGGCCGGGGGCATGAGGTTTTCCACCCGACCCCCCTTGGTAAAAAATTACACTGTACATATAAGGTAATTCTTTACTTATGTATATATATATAGATTTTGAGTCCCCTAAACACAAGACTAGAGATTGACTCAGTGATTTAGGGAGTTCAAAAGTTACCTTGGGGTTGCAAGTTTCAGATCTCAAAAACAACATTTTTATTTTTTGAACTTCCTTAATGAAAATCTTAGATCTGTCATTGTTGGCAGATGCATGATCCTGAAGAAAGCATTGTGTGCTTGGACTCTCATCTAAAGTCGATTCAGTTGATTGGTTTCAAAGATGAAGAAAACGAGATAGAACTACTAAAGTTTTTTCTGAAGAATGCACGGGTATTGGAAAAACTTACGATTGTTTGGGCCGGTTATGCTCTGAAATCAGAAGAGGCATTGAAGAAAGTTTTGAATATTCCTAGAACTTCTTCACAAGTTCTTTTGACATTTCACGATGCCAAGCTCAAACGAAAATCTACTAACTGGTTGGATTATTGTTAAAAAGGGAGATGATTGTTAGATTTACTCTTATTGGAATTTTCTGACTTGAAGATCCAAGTAAGAACCAAACTGTATTAGACATGGATCCTTGTGGTTTATGAAACTTGTATGGCTGCAATAGAGTAACTTGGAAGGTCAAGTCTTGTTTCTACTGGGAAGAAAAAATTATGATGTTGATGTTTTTGCAACTTGATATTCTCACATTGTTTGTTTGAAATCAATATGTATTTCATAGGAACACATCCTAATATGTATGTAAATGGTATGTAAGAAAAAAAAAAGATATAAAAACTAGTAACAAAATTACATGTAAAGGGCACAACTAAAAAGCTGCACTTCTAAGAAATAAGAAACCACAGGTATGTATTATTATTCTTCTTGCTCTTTCATTTAATTCCTAGTTTCCTGTTTTCCTTTAAATCTCAAGCTTATTCATTAGTTGAATTTTGCATCATAGAGAAGAAAATAAGAAATGTTAGTCATACCCTTCTTTAATAGGAATGTATAGCGGACCGTTTGGTTGGGAACAAGTCATCCCAGAATTAGTTTTCTTAGGATAACTTATCCCATCACTATGGTGGGATTAGTTATCCCAAACAAGACACAAAAAATTTATCCCATCACTATTTATTTTTATCCTTCACACCAAACAATCCTTAAGTTTCTTCTAACTGCTCATCGCATAAACAACTGTCATTCACCACAAGGATGAGTGTTTTTACATTTCTTTCAACACTCGGGCACATATTTTGTTGTCTTACCAATAGTTTGACATATTTACATCTACAATACTCTTATGTTAATAAATTCAAAAGTAGTAAACTGAACACCAAGAAAACAAAATTGCAATTACGCTTATAAAAATGGGATTAAAGTGAAATAGTTTTAATAAAATATACCTATAAGAAAAAAAACAAAATTGCAATTACATTACAACAGCTAAGGGATGTCACGTTGAAATTAATCAAAGCTGGGAGTTGCTAAGAAACGTGATCATGCATCTGGTATTTTGGAACAATTTATCTATTTTTTGCCAAACTGCAGATTGAACTTCTAAAAGCTTTCTTGCCTTCTCCTGCAGTTTTGACTGACGTCGGACTGTTTCACCATGAATCTGTCCAGCACAAATTAAAAGAGATGTTAAATGGTATTATTCAAACAGACATCATAGAGAAATTTTAAGCAGGACTATCAGAAATGGAGCCTCAGAACATTCTTTGAACCTAAACTTGATTATCTCTCTCATCAATGTCAAACAGAGAAAATATACTAGAGAGCTTGTGAATGCAGAAATTTACCTTCAAAAACAATCTAATCAGAGCCTGTATATATTCGAAATTGCTTCTGCATGAAATCTCGTGTATAAAGTAATCAAGTAGCAGTTCAATAAAATGCAATTCTTGTCTCTTCTCAGGCTCCTGCTCGTCATCGTCATCTATTATCTGAAGCATTCGCAGCTCCATATCCAATATTGAAGGAGACAAGCTTTTGATATGATTAGTGAATGGTGCAACTGCAAAAGGCAATATATGTGTCATACCTAGAGCCAGTCCAATAACGAAAGTAGATACACATTAAGAGAAGGAGAGGAGCTTACAATTCTCTTTCTCCGCACATGACTTGAGAATTTGCAAGAATTTGGATACTGGAAGATCCGTTTTCTTACTGCTCTCTTCCAATCTGGTATTTTGTGCATTACTCTCCTCATTAGTACCTTCACTTGGTTTAAATAATATCTCACCGGACAGAGATGGAATTGAAGGCAAGAAAAAAGGTGCCTTTTCAGGTTTCTTTGGAGGCTCGATAGGTTTGTTGCGGGCTTTTATTATGTCCAGGTTGATCAAGCTCTGCCATTGACTCTTAGGCAAAAGTGAAAGAGTGACTAGATCTGGAATTTGATGGCTGGAATTTAGAAACTGAGAAGTATCAGAGGACTCCAATGGCACAAAGATAGTCCTGTTGTCGCTTTTGTCACCATCTTTTTCAGAAGCAGCAGACGGCATCTTAACATTGACTATTTCTTTTCCACTTCCATATGATGCAAAGCTGGCTGCTCCAGAGAACATTGCTTGATTGACCCACAGATAGACACCATTTTGGTCAACATGTGATGTGGCCAAGATATCCATATTAGGCGATAAAGATAATGCAGTGATAGACAGATCAACTTGTATTGCATCTATCTGTCTAGCTAAAATTACATCCCAGATTCTGAGAGTCCCATCCATACTGGATGTCAAAAGCCATTTCCCATCCTCACTAAAGCACATGTCAGTAATACGGTCAGTATGACCCTCAAATTTACGAACCAACCTCTGTGCAATAACATCAAATAGACGGATAACTAAGTCATCTGCCACTGTAGCCAAAAGACCATTAGAACGGTGGAACACAATCTTAACTAAGGAACACCCAACCTCCCACTTATATTTTAACTGGCGACATTTGAAGTCCCAAACTTTTACATCGCCATGGTATCCAGCACTTATCATGATGGTGTTTGTCGCATCACAAGCTATGCCAATTACTTCCCCATTGTGAGCAGCACTTTCACCTTCTAACGCATCAACATAATTGCCACGGCTGATTCCTGACTGAAGATTAAACCGCTCAATCCAACCACCGGCCGTCCCTAGTACAGCAAAGTTTCCACAGGCACTAATAGCGCAAGCCTTGACTGGAGTTGGATTTTCAGGGCATGGAGTTAAAATATGCTCGCCAAGAACAAAATTTTGAAGCCTCCATACATAAGCACGCGGGGTGTCCATATGACATGTAACCACATTGCACCAATCACGTTCCCTAATTTCAGCAACATCGAATGCAATAACAGGCTTCAATTTTATCTCCTCCTTTTTCATCTTAAGCTTCTTCGCTCTTTTAGAAACATGTCGCTGGGAAAGTTCTCTACTTTGTTGATCTTGAACAACAGAAAAGAGACGGAAGGCTCGATCTTGACCAGCAGATAAGATGTGGCGCCCATTTGCATAGAACTTGATACATAGAGGAGGAGCACTATGACCACTTCTAAACCGTAGTAAACGAGGTTCCCCATCACTTGTATCGAAGATCCACATTTTCATTGAATTATCTGCAGATGAACTCATGAGGACAGGCTCATTAGCAAAGAACTGAAGTGAAACTATGGAAGAGTCATGGGCCTCCTTGATGACAGACTGCAGCCTTCTCTTCTCAAGATTCCATATGCTTATAACACCAGATGAACCTCCAGAAGCAAGAAGGGGCTGCCCATCAGTGCTGAATGACAAGGCATTAACGGCGCCTCTTGTAGAGTGACTAAATGAAGCTACCTCTTCATCATAGCGAATGTTATGAACGTGAATCTTCCCATCCGCACATCCAACAGCAATAACATCTAGTGCTGGAGATGAAACACAACAAGTAATAGAAGATCCCCATCCCTTGAACTCATAAATTTTCTTCTTTGTGCTTATATTCCAGAGTTGCAAAGCACCTTCTTGACTTCCTAAAACAACCTGTTTACAAGCCACTTAATGAGATTAATCTGTCAAATGAAACATAGGAAGCCAAAGAAACTAGCTAAACTATTACCTTTTTACTCATTTACGATGCGTGAGTTTTTCATTTTGTTTTGGGGTTTCCAGGGAAAGGGGGGAGTGAGGGTTGTATTAATTATTGTCACAAACCCCATGCTTCAATTATTGTGTTATTCGAAAGTTAAAAATAGAAAATTCATACCTTATTTAAATAAGTATCTGGATGCATTATGCAGCTAGGGGAGAATTCGTCCTCTAACTTTATGTGTCCGATTGGAGCAGGATTTTTGTCTATACCTTTAAATTGCCATATGAAGATATTGCCTTCAACATCAACACTTAGGACGTGTTCACCAAAAATAAGCAATTGGTTCACCTTAGCACTATGTCCACTCCATGTTGCCACCTGACCAAAGAAAACCGAATCATTTGCACCAAAAAAACATAAAAAGGCTCATTAATTCACACTGAAAGTCGACGATGAGCCCAAAAGAATAATCTTAACCAAGATACTTAAAAGGAAAAAACGAGGGGGAAAAAAAGGTGTTAATAACATATCAAGTAGAAAGAATGACACAGTAGCAGGTATCATAAGGACCCAAGCCTCGCACCACTTGACCAAAGTCTGACCTTCATCCAAACAAAATGAAGGCAAAAGGAGAGATCAAGAAGGGGGTATATTCAACGAAAGATCCTCTGATATCAGATGCTTCAGTAGAATTCTTTCTGTCATCCTACTTTAGAAACATTCAGATCATCCATCCACCCACAAGTTATGGGAAGTCAAAACGCATCCTTAAAAGTAAAACTTTCCAGAGATCATGGTTTGTTTGTGAATGACAAATGACAGAAGTAACAGTATAGCAATAATGGCCCCGACACAAGGCCAAGAAATCTTCAAAGCATATTAGAAAATTAGAAGGCGTTCTTCAAACTGATACAACAGTAATGTGATCAATCATCAAAAGATTCTTTTATCTCTTCATGGAAGTTCGTTAGCGCTGGGAAACCTTTGAGCCTCCTCAACAAAGTAACATGCACAGTTTTTACTATTGTGTGTGTGTGTGTGGGTGGGTGGGGGGGGGGGGGGGGGGGAGATAGAGAGAGAGAGCAGGCAAGATCCTACAAACCCTTATCAAGATTAATATGTTTAGAGGAAAAAACAAACCTGATGAGCACGCTTGACAACCGCAATGTCACTCCCATAGGCAGCAAAAGTATATTCACGATAAGAAGCAAGAGCTCGAATCTTCTTTGGCAATTGTGGGCCTTTATTGAAAATCCAAATATGAATGTTGAGGAAGTGCAAGGAAAAAAATTAAGGATGAAATTAAATAACGCCACAAAGAATTAGATACTACTTTTTCCACCACACAATAGGTTGAACACCACTTAAATTAGGTCTGATGTTTGCCAGAAGTCTTTATTCAGGTTTGACACTTGTATTTAAGTATAGGGATAAATGAAGATTCAGAGAAAACT